CCATTTTCCCTGAGAGCTGTTGCCCCTGAGATTGTGCAGGCCAGAGGATGGAAAATCTACTGCGATCAGTACTCCTGATGTAAATAGTACTCCTGTTAGTTTGGGAGAGGAGTGGTTCTGGGGCAATTTCTCTCTCTGATCTGGCATATTTAAAGCATTGGGCCTCCAATGTTGAGTTAATGAACAGAAGAGTGCTGCCTTGCAGCACATCCTTTTTCCAGGGTCTTCCTGGCTTTCCGCCCCTCCAGATACAGAGCTAGAAGGTATCAATCGGCCATTTGGCAACTTAGCATAACAGCATTGGCCATTATGGGGTCGCAGCTATGTAAAAGAGCAAAGCCATTCTCTCTGCTGCTCCAGGGCAAAAGAAATTTACAACTGATATTCTGGATAGACACCATGAGGAAAGTGATTCAGTTCCCATCATTAGATCTCTCACTGCCCATGCATAACAAATCCTTTCATTTAACGTATCTTGAACATTTAGTGACTGCCAATTTGGAGCAGCCGTCCAGCCATAACCATCCCGTGGCAGGCATTAGAGATCCTGCTTCTTCACTGCTCTTAGTCCAGCCAGCCAGCTCCAAGAGTGCAAAAGGAATGCAGAAGCCCCCTATCCCAACTTGGGCATCATTTACAGCCGCTCTGAACATGCATATGACAATGCAGTAACTCAGAAGTGGAGAGCTATCTCCTACCTCTGCAGCCAGCCAGCCACTTTAGAAAAGCTTCTTATTTGTACCGGTTCTCAGAAGCTTCTGCAATGCAACAGCCAGTGCCAGTGTGCTTAAGAACGATTGTTTTTCTTCTAAAAAGGTTCCAAATGCCCTTCTCTCCACAAATAAACCTGCACATGGGAAGCTGACACAGAGGTACACACCTAAGTAGAACTCTATAGGATACTCTAGTCTGATCTTGCTTATACTGCTGTGAGGTCACTGTAATATTATTCCAAATTGATTGCCGAGCAAATGAAAGGCAGAAGGTCCTAATATTGAGACAAATTTCTGTTCAGTATTGGAAAGGGAGGTCAGGCATTCACACTCATTTTGACAGTGGCTGGTGTTTGGGAAATCTGGGTCCATGCAATCTAGAGGTGGAAAGACTTTTAGGACATACCTTGCCTTTCCATCAAGGCAGAGAACTTTAAGGACTGTCACCTAACATGAGGAATACCTCTTGTCCTCTTAACTGAGCAGTGCCTGCAGATAGTCTGTGGGCTCTTTTATGTAGCTAGTTTATATGTTCCTGCAATTATGTCTAGAGCGAGGGCAAAGGGGAACATAAACAGTTGTGCTGCTTCCCACCCAGATCTGCAGTGTTTGTTTAGCAAAACGGACTGGGGTGGGGCTGGAGATGTAGCTCCCTTACACTAAGATGTCACCTTCCAGCTCTTTCTATGGCTGCCACCCATTTCTCTGGTGTGTCCCCATAGCTCCGTGACTGGTTTTGTTCCAATGCCTCAATGCTCTGCATAATTCTTGCTCAGAGAAGTTCTCCCAGTCATGCCAGTGACACCACTCAGATGAATAAGAAGTATTCAAGAAGGTTTGCATGCCTGCACCTTAATGATTTATCTTTGTCTTCCTTTTCTTCCCAGATCTGCTGTGAGGTTACACCAAGGCTTCTGGTTTCTGATGTCCCAGAGCTGAGAAAAAGTATCCCAGACAGATATAGCTGAAACCAAGCGGACAAGTACATGAACACAGTAAGTGACTTGCTTTCCTGATTCTTCCAGGAAGAATTCAATGAGAAATTTCACAGTAACTGTAGTTGGGAAAGAGCTTTCTGATTTCTCCATGTATCCTGATCAGCACTCACCTCAGATTAGCTTTCCTTCTCATAGTCTGTCAGCAGCCCTGAGATCAAGGAGATTAAAACACCCTAGTAACTCATTAATGAGCCAGGACTCTGCAACAGCTGGACCAAAAATAGCCCATGATCGGCTGCATCTTAATTCTTTGCCATCTCCCCTCTGCTCATCAACACCTGCACACATTTGGGACCCAGTGTAAGAAGACCCCTGAATTCAGCTCTAAGCAACCGGTCTGCATTGCACATGTCTAATGCTCTGCTGGTGTGGAACCAGTGTGCTGGTAATCCTGTTAGTAATGGCAGAAACTCCCTCTAGGAAATTATAACAAATAGTCTTAAACAATTCCTTTTGTTGACAACTTTATCCAAGAAAGCATCTTCCCTGGAGACTTCACTCAACTTTTGACTAATCCCCTCCTTCCCTCAGGAGCTCTTTTGTTGAAGGAGATTGTAGGCAAACCCCAGGAATGACAGGTCTCTGTAAGCCTTGGATCAGCCTCTACATTCTTTCAATTGTCAGTCCCCATCTGTCCTGTTTGTACATCGATCTTCTGGTCCAGGGATCTCTCTATTAAGTGACACATGGCTGAGTTTATTCTGCAAGTCCAGTGTCCAGACTGTGCTGTTACATCTTCGTTGCCAAGTCAATCTTTCTGACATTGCTTTCTGAAAAACAAAAGGCAGGACATCTGCACAATTTCATTCTCTTCTACTGAAAGGTTATTTTTAAAAATACACCCCACCCACCCCCCCCGACCAAACTCTGCCCTTGTTTTATACTTCCAAAAGATTTTGCTTCATTTTGTCAATACCAAGAGTTATTTCAAAGATCCTTGGTGTAATGTAATGGAGGGTAGAATCTGCCCCCGTTGCAAAGGAATTCTGTTAGGATAAAAATCCATGGCCTAAGTCCTGAATCAAAAGGAAAAATAAATCCTAATTCCAAATATTCTGTGGGACTAGTGACTTCAATTACTTTGCTTTTAACAGTTGGTTTAAACAAGCCCTAATCTTCCTGTAGATTCAACTACACTTAGCTAGTACGTACATATAAGAGGCACTGCATTATTTATCTGCATTTTGAGAGGCAGCATGAGAACGGAAGCAGATTCCAATGATCCATCCATACGTTCCTCCTCAGCAGGCAGAGGGAA